ATTATTCTTTATGAGATTATAATAATAATGATGAAGGAAATATGATTTATTTGACTTATGGTGATGATAATAATTTTTTAAATGACTAATTTAATTGCATATGAAAATCTGAAACTTATAAAAAATCATAATATTTTGAATTTCAAGTAATTGGGTTATGGACAATTTGAATTTAAGTATTGTTTATGTTATTTTTGCAATCATATCGTTTTATCTTTTAATTTAATACTTGTTATATTTATTTAATTTAACTTTTAATTTAATATTCTCTTATATGTATCTAATTTTTAAAACATTTTTTTTATATTTTATGTCATATTTAAAATGAAGCGTGTTGACGTTTGTGCTATGATGCATCATTCATCATTGACAAGCACTGAGTATCACATAGTTTTTAGCCTCCACCCCCCTAAGTTTCAACACCTGTAAATATATAATTACATAGTAAATATTTACATGAATGATCTTTAAAAATTTCTTATTTAATTATGTCCCTCACTTTATTATTTAAACTTTTAACTATATATCATCATCTTCTCACTAGCATGTAAATTATTATCAAATTTATGTCCTCCATCATCATGAACAGTAATGCAAAATCTTACTATGAAACTATATATTTCACTAATTTACTTAAATATAAATATGAATTATATATGGACTTATTCTTATAAAATTTCATCCACATAACTTCTTCAAATATATTACCTCCTTCCAATCAAAACCCTAAATATTTATTCAAATTAAAACTATTCTATAGCTTTAAATAATGAGTATCCAAGCAAATCCCGCTTGAGGAGAAACTAATCCAAGGTGGAGAAAATGTGGAGCCCAACAACACCCCCAGAACTATCCCAACCAATAAGTGTTTCAAATGCAACGATTTTGAATGCATTTTGTTAGATTGCCCAAACAACATAATAATATCTTTCATTGAGTAGAGAGAAAGTGAAGAAATGAGTTGTGCCATATGAGAGAGAAGTCTTCAAAGAAAAGCAACACCTTGTAACTAATGAGGGAGAAATATTAGTGATTCAAACTATGAATTTAGCAAGACTAATTTTGGTTGTCCTAGAAGATAATCACTTTGACGTAATGATGTAATGCCACAAACCAACATTTTGCAGGCTTTGAGAGAAGCTTCAGCATAATTAGTATTGGTTATGTAAAAAAACCAACTTCGAGGAGCCAAGATCAGACACAGGATAGCCACTACTATGTGGATTTCAGGATTTTCAGACATACAATCTACCTCCTAAATTGTCACTACTAAGGGACGTCCAACAAATCATCACTTTCAAATAGAGATGCAAAAAGTTTGAGTTATATTTGAAAAACTATATGGAATAACATTATGAGACCAGCAATCCTACAGTCATGGTCGCAATATTCCCGCGATATTGCGGAATTGCTCCTGTGATCTAAGGTACCAATGACCAAAAATTTTTCTGTGCTTACTCTTGACGTAGCTCTACGTGCGGCGCAGTGTATTCATGAGTAATTTTCATGTTATTTTTTTGATTATTTTCAATAATCCCGAAATAATCCGGAAATAACCCGCGGTTTTTACTTTTGGGTTATTTCTGGGTTATTTCGTGATTATTCCAGAAATAATCTGAAAATAACTCAGGAATAACTTGCCCCGCACTTAGAGTAACGTCAGGTGTCCGGACAGAAAATGCGCGCACCAATGACAGAGCTGTTCAAATTGAATTGCTAATTCCAAAAATTGCCACAAAATTATTATGAAACGAAAAAAAAACAGAGAACAAAATCAGCAGCACAACTTATGGCCGATGGGAGAAAACCTCTTAATCCACGGCGAACTTGCTGAGCTCCTCGCCTGTAAGCCGACAGATCCTCCATTGTGGCAAAACCTCAGCCCCCATTCCATTATAGAACGCAATCGCGTTCTCATTCCAGTCAAGCACACACCACTCCACCCTCCCGCATCCCAGCCTTGCAGCCTCACCCGCCACCGCGGCGAGCATCATCTTCCCCATCCCCAGCCGCCTCCATGCTTCCCTCACGAATATGTCCTCCACGTATATTCCCGGCAGCCCCATGAAGGAGGAGTAGTTCGGAAAGCATAGCAGGAATCCAGCGACCACCAGCCCGTTACCGCGCGGGGAGGCGAAGGTAGACGACTCCGGATCGACGACAGTTGACTTGAGTACGATTCGGCCCAGGATCGGGCGGAACCCTAGGTTGGAATCGTCGTCGTCGGCGGACTTCGGGATGGGGGAGTGGGAGAGTTCGAGAATGAGGATGGTGAATGATCGGAAGGGGGGGAGTGGAGGGGAAGGGAAGAGGGTGGAGGTAAGTGATGATTCGGTGGCGGAGAAGAGGTTGGTGAGGAGCTCGAACTCCGCCATCTGATGTATTAGGCGGTGGATGTTGGGGACGTCGAAGCGGTCGGCGAGGCGAATTCGGGTAAAAACAACCGCTTGTTCCTTCGATGGGTCGCCGGCGGCGGCGGGGGCTGGGGGGCGGCGGGGACTGTAGTCATGATAGGGTTTTGAATTGTGTGATTTGGAAATTGTGTATGGAAACTAGAGTGGAGTTACTTATAGAATTTGTATGCTAGGAAGGAAGACTTGTATTTCTCTTCTGAATATTAACAAAAGAAAAAAATGTGTGTTTTGGCTATCAAATTGCATATATTTTCCTTTAGGCTTGTTCGATAAATCTTGACAAAGAACCATCTATGTGATAGAGGGAAATGAGCATTCATATGTCGTGAATAAATTTTCAACATCCGACATGAACTTAAGATATGAGACTGATCTTGATGCACTTTTTTGAGCAAGGAATGTTCAAAGTTTGATAAGAAGTCATTCGAAAGTCTGATTTCAGCAAACTTATGGTCAAACTCATCGATTTGACGAGAGGGGCCCGATGATATCAAAATTGGTACAATCTGAGTCAAATCAATCCCCGATCAAGATATTAAACCATGTTTGAAAGTTTTTCAGGCACACTTTGTAAGGTCAAATGAATGATAAATCTGGTGAGTTTATAGCCGAATCAAGCGTATCGATAAGACCAATCCTACGAGGTCCAATATCGCTCAATTCTAATTCTGACATCATTAAGACACTTAAATGTCCACCAAATGTCGTCTGAACAAAAAAAAAAAATTCTTCGGACTGTCTAATTAAAGTGGTTTATATTGTCGCAATAATTGCACCAATAACTCTACAAATAGAGCATTTCCCCTCGTTTGAAAGGGGATGTTGGCATCAATTTTTAATGTCATGTGTGTAGGATATCAACTTCAATAATTCAGGGTGACTTGGTGTCCATTCATTTCATCCTAAAACTCAAGATATCAATCTGGACCTCCCGATACGTGCCATGAGCACAGAATCGGGATTGGTGCCGATTTTTGCCCTGCTCGAGTAAATTCACCGTGGGATGGAAATTAGCTCGGGACATGTTTAGCATTCATTTTTGATGTTTAGAGATCGCACCACCTTAGTCTCAACTCGTTTATGGCCAACTGGAGTCACAAGACTCACCCATGGGCACTACTTGATATGAATTAGGGTTTCATACCATTTTGCGTTGCCCGGGGATTACCGTTGTTCGACATAATCATTTTAGACAACAACATAGCATTTAAGACTAATAATTCTTTCAAAAATAAAATTTAGTATTATTGTAGGATATCTTCCATTTCTATATTTAATATGCGAAGCACGTAATTTTTTTCATAAATTGCTCCCGTCACCACTCATCTAATACAAACATTTAACTTCAACGGTTCTACACATGTATTTTTTTTAGATGGGCATAATATAGCACACATGACGGTATATTACTAGAGTCCGCACATAATTTTCTGAATTTTGCATAGCTTCGTAAGTTTTATGAATACACTAATTCATGCGAACCTTAAAATTTATGAACATACCTCCGAATGTAGAATGAGATTGCTCATCTCAATACTAAATGTAGATCTCATATAAATTTGATGTGCTACAAACGTCTAAGAGATTTAAAAATTTCATTGTGGAACTCACGAGAGAAAAAGTTTGAACCCAGGCCAAGCTAAAATTTGAGCCTAGTCCAAGCTAAATTGACAAAATCACTACTTAATCGCCTACTTAAAATTCATTAAACTACAAAATTGATTGTAGCCAAATTTGTCATCCAACAAGATATTTATAACAAATGCTCCTTCAATTTTAAAATAGAGTTTTTAGTAAATTTATTATTTTAAATAAGCACTCTAAAGATAAAATTTTCTCAATTTACAAAATCGTCACGTCAGCAAGCAATTTTGTTACGCCATCTAGCAAAATTGTTTGATGATGTGATCAAAAGGTAAAATTATCTCTTGAGGTGATGATTTTGAAAAAAAAATTAGAACAAATTAATATATTTTCCAAACATGAGTACAAATATATAAATGGAAATGATATAATGAATATACTAAAACTTACGTAAAAAATAGGGAAAAAGAAAATTGGGGCCAAAACATTAAAAAAATATACTCTTATAAATTATCTCATTTATTTTAGTATATTTACCTGCTTATATGTCAAAATTCATCACATCATATGACAATTTTATCTGCTGACGTAACAAAATCGCCCGTTGATCTGGAGAATTTGTGGGCTTAGAAAAATTTAGTTTTTGAGTGCCGATTTAAAATAATAAATTTAAAAAAAATGCTATTTTTAAAATTTACTTTAAAAAAGAGCATTTGTTATTCATATTCTTTTGGTTGATTAACTTGGCTCCAATCTTTTTTGTCGTTTTATGAAATTTAACTTTTTATTAAAATAATTTAATTCATGTATTTAATTAATTATTTATTAATATATATATATATATATATAATTTTGAATATTTATTGACAAAAAAATTTAATATAAGAATTTAAAATAAATATTGGTATTAGCTATTCATGTAAGTTTTTGGTTGTTTTTTATTCCTTCTAGTCATGTTTTTTATGTGTTCTTCTGTTTATGTTTGTTGCTCGAGCAATCTCTTTCTCTATGTGGTTATTCAAAAGATTAATGAGATTTTTGTTATGGATGTTGGATTTGGTGTTGGTTGTTTCTTTTATATGTCAATTGGCACTTATTAATAGTGCTTGGGTGTTTTAGTGGGTTGCTAATTTGTAGCATCGAGTCATGACTGTTGGTTTCCATCTTTTAGTTGATTTTTTTATAAGCTTGCATTTCATCTTTGATATTTGCTAATTGCTGAGATTGGTTGATAGAATTGATGAATTCAAGTCATTACTAAAATTCTGACATTTTAATATATTTTTTATATATTATAAATGTTGG